GCTGCCTGTGTGTAGGAAGGGCTGGTGGAGGGCAGCCTATGTGTAGGAAGGGCTGGTGGAGGGCTGCCTGTGTATAGGAAGGGCTGGTGAAGGGCTACCTACACACAGAAGGGTTGGTAGAGGGCTGCCTGTGTGTAGGAAGGGCTGGTGGAGGGCTGCCTGTGTGTAGGAAGGGCTGGTGGAGGGCTACCTACACACAGAAGGGCTGGTGGAGGGCTGCCTATGTGTAGGAAGGGCTGGTGGAGGGCTACCTACACACAGAAGGGCTGGTGGAGGGGCTGCCTATGTGTAGAAAGGGCTGGTGGGGGCTACCTACACACAGAAGGGCTGGTGGGGGCTGCCTACACACAGAAGGGCTGGTGGAGGGCTGCCTATGTGTAGGAAGGGGCTGGTGCTATGTGTAGGAAGGGCTGGTGGAGGGCTGCCTATGTGTAGGAAGGGCTGGTGGAGGCTGCCTATGTGTAGGAAGGGCTGGTGGAGGCTACCTACACAGAAGAGGGCTGCTATGTGTGGAAGGGCTGGTGGAGGGCTACCTACACACAGAAGGGCTGGTAGAGGAGCTGCCTGTGTAGGAAGGGCTGGTGGAGGGCTACCTACACACAGAAGGGCTGGTGGAGGGCTGCCTGTGTGTAGGAAGGGCTGGTGGAGGACTACCTACACACAGAAGGGGCTGGTGGAGGGCTGTATACACGCAGAAAGGCTGGTGGAGGGCTGCTTACGTGCATGAAGGGCTGGTGGAGGGCTGCTTACGTGCATGAAGGGCTGGTGGAGGGCTGCTTACGTGCATGAAGGGGGCTGGTGGAGGGCTGGTTACGTGCATGAAGGGCTGGTGGAGGCTGTCTACACATAGAAGGGGTGGTGGAGGGCTGTCTACACACAGAAGGGCTGGTGGAGGGCTGTCGACACACAAAAGGGCTGGTGGGGGCTGTTTACACACTGAAGGGTTGGTGGAGGGCTGTCTATACACAGAAGGGTTGGTGGAGGGCTTTAAGGATGTTTACCTCTGGCGAGAGAGGGGGGGGGGGGGTAGTGAGGACTATCTATGTCCTCGGTAGTAGGTAGTAAGCAGCTACCAAACAGGGAGGTACTACCGCCTGGGAAGATATTGGAAGCATAATGTGTTGTCTAATGGTAGACCCTGCTGCCATATGGCATCACGAAAATTGTGACCAAGTCCCAGGTTAATGATCTGACTTTCTGCCTCATTTACACACAATTGCAGGGTCTCAATTGTTTCTCTTACTATTGACAACACAACATACATACTGTATATAATTTCTGACTCTTGATTTATTTTTTCAATTTTGTATTTATTTGTGGTTATTTTTTATTACTTTTATTATTTTATTTTTATTAATTTGCTATTAATTTTATTAATTGTAATAATAATAATAACAGATATTATTATTATTATTATTATTATTATTATTATTATTATTATTATTATTATTATTATTATTATTATTATATTTTCGCCCCCCACCTGTGCCGGGTGGCTAATGCCCATAAAAAAAAGAGAAATATGTCACAATGTTATCACTTTACAAGGCGGTTTTCTCTGACCAAGACCCTGGAATATTGTGATAAATTACTATTGTTTTTATTTATGGGTTTATTACAGCGTTACGGTATTTAGTTTCCGTTTTGAGGTACTTTTATTTATTTGTTATTTGTTGGGCTGATGAGGGCTGTCTTTGTCCAGGGTGCTGGTGATGGCTGTCTAAGTTCAAAGGGCTGGTGAGGGCCGTATATGTTCAGGGGCTGGCGAGGGACTCTCTATATCCAGAGGGCTAGTGAGGTCTGTCTACGTCCACGGAGCTGATGAGGGCTGTCTTTGTCTAGGGGGCTGGTGAGGGCTGTCTATGTCCATGGGGCTGGCGGAGGGCTGTGCACCTACCTGAGGACTGGTGTAAGGTTGTTCATTGATATGGAGTTATTGGCTCTCCAAGTATAGAAAGGGCTGGAGGATGGCTGCCCATATGCAGGGAGGGCTGGAGGATGGCTACCCATATGCAGGGAGGGTTGGAGGATGGCTACCCATATGCAGGGAGGGTTGGAGGATGGCTACCCACGCACAGGGAGGGCTAGTAGAGGGCTGCTCACATACAAAAAGGGCAGATGGAGGGTTGCCCATGTACATGGAGGGCTGGTGGAGGGCTGCCCACGTACAGGGAGGGCCCGGGGCAGGAGGGAGAGAATGACGGGGGGAGCAGAGCATCACCCCCACCCCCGGGCCCCGCCACCAGCGTTGCCACCTACGCTACGTAATTCTAGACAGTCGTCGCTAAATTTCGCTTATCATTTCTAAATTTGCTTTTCAGAGATAAGCTATATCTTAGATGTTCACAAAGTACTATATATTTAACCTCTGGTATTATTATAGACGAAAATAAAGATTTTGTTAAATTTGCGAAGCAATGGCGACGGTGACAGAAGAATGGAGAATACGCACGCGACCTGTCAAACCTGCATTGATTTATTTGATGGATGGGGAGGGTATTGACCGTATTTTTGACAGACCGATGGCGAGCAGACACTAAATGATAAGGTTGTGATGGCTCAGTAGCTCCTGCCTTGTTACTAAGATAATCGCCCATCAAGATATTGAGGGTGAAAAACGTACTAGTCTTGCCTCTGTATTTTTGACGGGGATCAAATACACGCTGGGTAAATGCCTTCACAGAATCCTAAGAAACTACGACTGTCATCTGAGAGCGATCATTCGGGCTGGCGCACGTCTACAGTCCGTTGTCTGGCTCAGTCGATGGTTCAAGACGACCACAGCTAATCCAATATATATAAAAAAATATATATATATATATATATATATATATATATATATATATATATATATATATAAATAATTATATATATATATATATACAGTATATATATATATATATATATATATATATGTTACAGCAGTATATATGTTAAGGCTAAGGTTAAGGCTAAGCATATATACAAGATAAGATAGTCTGATAAATCAATACGGGAAATAACGTTACTCCTGCTGTTTCCATTCGTTATTGATCTTCAGAGGCAACCTCAGAGTTGCTCTGAAGAGTTCCTGGAATAAAGACGAGCCAAGGTGCTCAAGTTGTTTCCCTTCCCGTGATTTTATCAAGATATAGCTTGAGTATATATAGCATATATATATATATATATATATATATATATATATATATATATATATATATATATATATATATTATATATATATATATATATATATATATATATATATATATATATATATATATATATATATATATATATATATATACACCGACTATCACAGCAGCTGTGTTACGACACCACATTTACTTTTGTATACTTATCCAATGGAAATAAACAAAAAGGTGTTGAAGGACCACCATTATTGATGACATACAGAACAATTATTATTTTGACGTAACTCATCTACAGAACATGCAAGTGTCAACAAGAAAGACGCGTCACCTCGCAACACGTGGCTTTTTTGCTTCACATCTGTGTCATATCATCAGCGAGATATAAGCAAACATGAGAAAGTTTAAGGAAAAATAGTAAAATTGATAAATAAAATAAAACTGTAATGGTTAACATTTATATCGTCCGCCGTCAGGAATAAACAAAGAGATGTTCAAAGAGTAGAACAATGAAAAATACGAGTATAAACACGGTGATAGCCTACGTAACTCATCTGGGAAGAGAACAAAAGCGTATAGACGCGAGAGAGAGAAAGAGAGAGAGAGAGAGAGAGAGAGAGAGAGGTGATCGGGTATACAGATGACATACTGTATACCAGCTACCTTGACAAGTTGAGGTGCATGGCTAGTAAGAGACACACTACTCCACGCAATATAATATACCTACACTCACTAGTCCCCATCATTAGCGTCTTCTCATCTGAAGGTCAACACTCGCCTTGATCTGATGTGAGCGATAGGCGGCCGCGGCGAATGAGTTACGTGGAGATAATGACAAAATAATTATCCGGTCACTTGTGAGACCGGGTGCAGCAGTCCCAGGAACAGTGAGATAAAGGGTGATCATTATTATTAGGAGAGGGCGCTGTCCCTCGTCTACCTCCTGCACGTTACTTCGCCCCCATTATGTAGCTCGCCTACACACCTCACAGTAACACGCTTATTATATATCAACTTAAAATTATCACAGATTTAAAATTAAATTGCATATACAACGTGAAATGCAGAAAATTGTAGGTGTGAGGTGGAGGAGGAGGAAGGTGAGGTGGTTTAGCAGGTGGGTAGGAGTGGCAGGTGATGGCTGGCGGCGGTGGTGGTGGTTGTTGCAGGTGTTGTGATGACATGCCCCAATACTATACCCTCCTCTATCAATACCACCACCATCTACATCAATACACACACAGCCTGATCTTCCTCCCTTAATGCCACACAACGGAAACACCCAGTAAAAGTGCAGAAGAGGGCGTGCAAGATTATTCTCTCCCCCTCCTACTGACCCTCTCGGCTCTCTCTGACCTCATCTGCAAATTTGGGGAGAAACTTCTGCACCATCCTCGACACCGACTTCTGCTTCCACCCAAGATCCCTCGTCCGCGAATTGTTGTTCGACACTAAAACCGCATCCAGCCCATAACAGCAGGTACTGATCGCGACAAGAACAGCCCAGTCCCAACCATTGTAAAAATTATCAACAACTCGTACTTAACCAGTGTGTTCAATTCCTGCCAATCTTACTTTTGTATTGTTACTTTGTATGACCCTCCCCCCATCTTGTTATTGTATATAATATTTGTATTACTTATGTTACTTGTATATTATTTATCAATCAAATGACCCATTCCCCAATTATGTAACTGTATATTTTCAGCCTTCTGGCTGCCATGCTCTTTTTCGTTAGTTGTTATTATTATTATTATTATTATTATTATTATTATTATTAATATTATCATTATCCTCATTACACACACACACACACAATGGCATAACTCATTACATTGTGTTTTATCTTATAGGTTAAGAGGCTTCATTCTTTTGTAACCAAGATGTGGGCGGTGATGCTGGTGGGCGTGGTTGCAGTATTGGGTGTGGTGGTGGGCGGCGAGGAGGAGGGATGGATCCATCAAAACATGGCCACAACTCACAGGTAAGTCGTAGTAAGTGACACAGATGGCTGGCTGTAGGATGACACACACACACACACACACACACCTCACACACACCTCACACACACACACACACCTCACACACACCTCACACACAC